TATGACCCAGTCATCCCATTACTGGGTATATACCCAAAGGATTATAAATCATGCTGCTATAAAGACACATGCACGCGTATGTTTATTGCAGCACTATTCACAATAGCAAAGACTTGGAATCAACCCAAATGTCCACCAGTGACAGACTGGATTAAGAAAATGTGGCACATATACGCCATGGAATGCTATGCAGCCATAAAAAAGGATGAGTTTGTGTCCTTTGTAGGGACATGGATGCAGCTGGAAACCATCATTGTCAGCAAACTATCGCAAGAACAGAAAACCAAGCACCGCAAGTTCTCACTCATAGGTGGGAACTGAACAATGAGATCACTTGGACTCGGGAAGGGGAACATCACACACTGGGGCCTATCACGGGGAGGGGGGAGCCGGGAGGGATTGCATTGGGAGTTATACCTGATGTAAATGACGAGTTGATGGGTGCTGACGAGTTGATGGGTGCAGCACAGCAACATGGCACAAGTATACATATGTAACAAACCTGCACGTTATGCACATGTACCCTAGAACTTAAAGTATAATAATAATTAAAAAAAAAAAAAGAAAAAGAAATACAATGGGCCGGGCATTTACAGGCAGGGCACGGTGGCTCATGCCTGTAATCCCAGCACTTTGGGAGGCCAAGGCGAGTGAATCACGAGGTCAGGAGTTGGAGACCAGTCTGACCAACATGGTGAAACCCCCGTCTCTACTAAAAATACAAAAATTAGCCGGGCGTGATGGCAGGTGCCTGTAATCCCAGCTACTCAGGAGACTGAGTCAAGAGGATCGGTTGAATCTGGTAGGTGGAGGTTGCAGTGAACCGACATCGCGCCGCTTCACTCCAGCCTGGGTGACAGAGTGAGACTCCATCAAAAAAAAAAAAATACAAATAAATAAATAAATAAATAAATAAATAAATAAATAAATGCAATGCTCTTGAACACCCTCCCCAGGGATCTCATCGATCTCATCAAGTAACCAGGAAAGATCAAGAGGCTGGAAGTCCTCACCAGCCCAGACAAACTTACCATCTATTCTTTTGAGGTCAGCTCCAAGAGATTATCTGGAGGACTTAATTTGCATTAAACAATAACCTGTCTTCCTGTGTAGCTCTGCACCTCACCTTCCCCTAACGTCTGCTTCCTGCCTCCTGGGTCTGTTCATTCTCCTTGACGGTCTATTGCCTCTTAAAATAAAAGTCTACGTTCCACATCTCCTCCTTCCTCTATGCAAGCAGATATATAAACTTGTGTACCTCATTGGGTCATCATTCTTTTGTGGTTCCCTCCCTATGTGATTTAAAATAAAATTTTACATACCTTTCCTTCTATTAATCTTCCTTTTGCCAGTTGATTTTTCACTGAACCTTCAGAGGACAAAGGGGAACTTTTTTCTTTGCCCTTACAGTTTAATCCGTGCATTAGTTCAACACCTACGTATTCTCACCAGTGAGGTCGGACGAATTATCCTCGCCTCTGAAAACACAGAATCGAACAATTTTCTGTCTCCAAAGGGCTTAGATTCTAATACTAGTAATCCAAGTGCTATAAGTAAAAACCAGGTAAACATTCTGTTCACATCCTAATCAAGTATCTACTGTCAGCAGGAGGCATGGACACAAGCTCTCAATAAGCTGCTCTGTGACCACCTAACACCACAGCAAAGCCTGGAACCAAGCTCCAGGCATCATTCTCATCATTTCTACTCTGTTTTCATCATCTTTTGAGTTGCTACGTTCGTTATCTGTACAGCTGCAGCAAGTCTGCGTATATTTTTCATCTAACTGCCAGCTTTCTCCACCAAGTTGAACTGACCTTGGACTCTTAGTCCAAGATGGCATGGACCCAAAGAGCGGCCGGTAGCAAGGCTTATTGTGAAGAGCAAAAGGACAAAGCTTCCACGCCCTGTGAAGGGACCCCAATGGGTTGCGACTGCTGTCTGCGTGGCCAGCTTTTGTTTCCTTTTGTCCCCAGCCATGTTCCATTTCTGTCCTATCAGAGCATCCTTTTTTTCAATCCTCCCCTCCAATGGCTACTTTTAGAATCCTGCTGATTGGTGCATTTTACAGAATGCTGATTGGTGCATTTTACAGAGCGCTGATTGGTGCATTTTACAGAGCACTGATTGGTGCGTTTTACAGAGCACTGATTAGTGTGTTTTACAATCCTCTTGTAAGACAGGAAAGTTCCCCAAGTCCCCACTTGACCCAGGAAGTCCAGCTGGCCTCGCCTCTCACAACCATGTCAGTAATCACTTTGAGTAGCAACGGTTGAAATGCACCAATTAAAGACACATTGTCAGAGTAGATCTAAAAAAAGACCCAATTATATCTTGTATATTGGAAATCTCTGTAAATATGAAGACATACATAGACAATTGCAAATTAAAATCAATGAGATATCATCTCACACTTGTTAGAATGGCTATTTTAAAAGACAAAAGTTAGTAAGTGTTGATGGGGAGAAAAGGGAACACTTGCATACTGTTGGTGGGAATGTAAATTAGTACAATATAGTAACTATGAAAAAAAGTGTGAAGGATCCTAAAAAATAACAATAGGATTACCCTTTGATCTAGCAGTCTCATTACTGGGTATATATCCAAGGGTAATAAAATCTGCCTCGGGAGATTTCATGACTATCCAGTGTGTTGGATAGGTATCTGTACTCCCACATTCATTCCAGAATTAGTCACAATAGCCAAGTGTGGGATCCACCTAAGTGCCCATCAATAGATGAATGGATAAAAAGAATGTAGTGTATATGCAAAACAGGATATTATCAGCCTTAAAAAGGGAGAAATGCTGTCACTGGAGGCAGCATGAAATTTGCATGGCAATATATTCAGTGAAATAAGCCAGGAAGAGAAAGACAAATACCACATGAACCTATGCGTAAGTGGAATCTAAAAAAGCTTATTTATATAAAGACAAAGTAGAACAGTGGGCACTAGGGCCTAAGGGTGGTTGGGGATGAGGCTGGGTAGATGATTGTGAATGGGTACAAAATTTCAGTTAGATGGGAGGAAAAAGACCAAGAGATGTATCGTACAACATGGTAAGTATAGTTAACAATAAATTGCATTATGAAAAATGAAGAAAGAGTGGATGTAAAGTGTTCTTGCCACAAAAAAATAACTGTGTGAGGTAACACGTATGTTCTTAGCAAGAATTTATCACTTCACTATATATTATTCTTTAAACATCATGTTTGAAGGTGATGTGAAGATTTTACATAGTAAATACCCCAAATTTTATTTGTCAATTCATAAAAGACATATAAAAGTAAATGAATGAAAGGAAATGTACCTTGCTAACAGTACCCAGAAGAAAGCAGGCATAGCTTTATTAGCTTCAGAAAGAATGTAATGTAAATAAAGGAAAATTGTCAGGGATAAAGACCTTATGTGATAATAAAGGGATCAATTTTCCAAGAAAATATAATGGTCCTTAATATGTATGCATGTAACAACAGAGCAAGAGAGCATCAATCTACGTGAGGCAGAAACTGTTTAAACCACAAGAAGAAATAGATGAGTCCACTATTATAGTTGGAGACTTTCAACACTCCTCTGTCAGAAATAGACAGGTCCACCAAGAAGAAAAAATCAGTAAAGACATAGTTGAACTCAACAATATCATCGGCCGGGCGCGGTGGCTCAAGCCTGTAATCCCAGCACTTTGGGAGGCCGAGACGGGCGGATCATGAGGTCAGGAGATCGAGACCATCCTGGCTAACACGGTGAAACCCCGTCTCTACTAAAAATACAAGAAAATTAGCCGGGCGAGGTGGCGGGCGCCTGTAGTCCCAGCTACTCGGGAGGCTGAGGCAGGAGAATGGCGTGAACCCGGGGGAGCGGAGCTTGCAGTGAGCCGAGATCGCGCCACTGCACTCCAGCCTGGGGCACAGAGCAAGACTCCGCGTCAAAAAAAAAAAAAAAAAAAAAAAAAAAAAAAAAAAAAAAAAAAAAAAAAAAAAAATATCATCAATCAATTGGATAAAATTGACATCTACAGACTTCTTTATCCAACAACGGGCAGAACACACATTGAACTCAAATCCACAAAGACCACTCGTCAAGATGCACCACATCATCCTCAATAAAACACACCTGAAACCATTTAAAAGAATCAAAATTATACAATGTATGCACTCAAACCACAACAGAATTAAGCTAGAAATCAATTTTTAAAAACTGGTGAATTGCAAAATACATGGAGAGTAAATAATTCATTTCCAAATAACACATGGGTCAAAGAAATCTCACGAGAAAAATTTTTAAAAATGTTGTACTAAATTTAAAGGAAAACACACCTTATCAAAATTTACTGGCTACAACAAGGAAGCTTAGAGGAAAATTACAGCATTGAGTGTGTAGATATTACAAAAGTTGAAATCTAAAATTCAAACATCTAAATTTATACTGTAAAAGGAAGCAGAGAAATTAAATCCAAAGTAAGTGGGAGAAAATATATAATATTGGAAACATGGCAAAAACAAAGTAAAAGATAAAGCACCTGGAATTTTCAAGTGAATATTGATAGTTTCATATTTTCCAGGACATACGAGTCCAAAGTTAAGTAGGATAACGTAACAGTCCCAACAGGACCCTCGCTTAAGAACATGGAGAGGAGACTCCCAATGAATTCAGGGACACAAATCTTCAGAAATGATCAACCAAAGGCATGCAAAGCAAGGCAATTTCATTTGGCTATTAAGTCAGGAAATGCATTAACTATGAATAATCCACCAAAAATAAACGTTAAGTATTGCTAGGTATACAAGGCATGGTTACATGTGGTAGAAAGAATAAAGTCAAGATAACATGCTATGGTCTGAGAAACATGAGAAAATTGTGAGGTTTGTATGTGAACATCAACATGTAAGGGGTCATGCATATACATTGACAAACATGTGTATGCCCTCAGAGAATAATTGCATAAAGACCCACTGCTACCACCTCTGGAGTCCCCTGCCCCCCTTGCCCATGTAGCTTACCTGGGGTCCCTTCTCTGTGCAGCTGCAAACCCACTTCATTTGCAGTTTGCTGTTAGGATGCTCTCACCCTGTGGTGTATTTTCATCAGGTGGTGGTGAGCGGGCCACTGTGAATTTTCAGATCCACGGATCCCACTTACATCTGCAAAATGACAGATGGGAAAGACAGCTCTGTGCCCCGTTTCACTCTGTTTGTCCTCAGCACCAATCCCTCCTGGCAATGCAAATGGTCCTGCACAGTGGACTGCGGCCACCCTCACCTGTTCTGACTGGTTCCTGAATCAAAAGACCTCATGGATCGGGGATAACATTTCATAAAAGAACTGAGGCATTCAAATCCCTCCCCACAGAATGCAGTCCTCAGAGAGGGGCCCCTGCATCACTTTCTGAGCTGCCTGGTACCCTCACCCCCATGCCCAGTCCCTCCATAGTCTGCCCTTCCAGCTCCTGCCTCATCATGTATTATCCCAGTGGTCCTTCCAACCCACCACCCTCCTCTCATGCCCTGGCCTGTGCCACGGACACACTGTTTCCTCTTCCTTTTCCCTGCCCTGTTTGCTGGACTCACTGGTCCTCGCTCTCCAGCATCTCCTCCAATGCTCCTCCTCCTCGAGGCCTCCCTTGCCTATCCCAGTCCAGGCCTGAAACTTGTCCCCTGAGTTCCCAAGGGCAGCTCTTCCACTTGCAGTTTAGTTTCTGTTGAGTTTTCTGAATCCCCACTGGCCTTTAACATCTGAGAATTTGGAAACTTTGTCTGTGTTGCTTCCCTGTGAGCCCCACACATATAGTGAACAAAGAGCAACACAGAATATCCTCCTTTATATTGAATTTCACAAAGAAATTAATGAATCTCTCAAACCTCTCACCTATATTCTTGTCTTCTTCCCAAGAAACTAAAAACTTTCTTTTAATCTGAAGAGAGTATGCGCTTGAAGATGAACATGTTTTTTTTTCCCCCTTTTCATCTCAGGACAAGATGTGACTCCCCTCAGCCTCTTCTCCAGCCTCCCCGTCCTTAGTCCACGGCTTAGCCCCTCTCCCGGGCCACGCTGTTCTATCCTCATCTGCAGCTGTTCTTTCTATCCGGACAGTTTTGCCCTTTTAAACCAACAATTTTTTTCTTGATTTCCAAGATTCAGCTACATTAGTATGGCTCCCTTGCTAAATATTTTCAAACACTTACATAGTTATTTACTTTTCTAGAGATGGAGCCTAGCTATATTTCTCAGGCTGCAGCGCAATGGGTATTCATAGTTGTGGTCACAGAGCATAGCAGCCTCCAATTCCTGGGCCCAAGAAATCAAATACTTATTACTTACTATCTTTCTAAATTTTTTTTTTTTTTTTTTTTTTTTTGAGACGGAGTCTCGCTCTGTCACCCAGGCTGGAGTGCAGTGGCCGGATCTCAGCTCACTGCAAGTTCCGCCTCCTGGGTTTCCATCATTCTCCTGCCTCAGCCTCCCGAGTAGCTGGGACTACAGAAGCCCGCCACCTTGCCCGGCTAGTTTTTTGTATTTTTTAGTAGAGACGGGGTTTCACCGTGTTAGCCAGGATGGTCTCGATCTCCTCGTGACCTCGTGACCCGCCCATCTCGGCCTCCCAAAGTGCTGGGATTACAGGCTTGAGCCACCGCGTCCGGCCTCTTTCTAAATTTTTAACGTATGTTTATTTTTCAAATTTTATCGCAATAGCTGTTACTCTGGTGGCATCAATGACATGGTGTTATTGAGGGCACATGCATGATCTTGTAGTGAAATCTTCTGTTGTCACCTTCAGGTAAGATCACCTGCACTCAATACTTACAGAATGGATGTCAACAGGAAGGTGCAAATCACACTGACAATCATGCAGCCTCTTTTATTAAGAAATGTTTCATTGCCATTACCCTTTATGCCACAGAGGGTTATGTGAAGACACCCATTTCTCTGGATTAAAATCTTGTTTCGAACTATTATAATCAAAATTTTAAGATTTTTGTAATTTCATTTATGAGTTAATCTCAGTATTGTGTTAATTTTTATGTGAGTAAAACTTGTGATTTTATAATTCTAGAAGGGCTTTTTCCATAAATATAAAATGGGCTGTTATGTGTATAGAGTCATGTACCACATAAGGGCCGTTTTGGTCAACAACAGACCATATACATGTTGCTGGTCCCATAAGATTGCAATGGAGTTGAAATTTTCTCTTATCTTTTGACATTGTAGCAATCATAATGTCATTATTACTTCAAGTTTAAAAAATTAATTAATTTATTAATTTATTTTATTTTATTTTTGAGATGGAGTTTCACTTTGTTGCCCAGGCTGGAGTACAGTGGTGCAATCTCGGCTCACTGCAACTTCTGCCTCCTGGGTTCAAGTGATTCTCCTGCCTCAGCCTCCTGAGTAGCTGAGATTACAGGTGTGCACCATCATGCCCAGCTAATTTTTGTATTTTTAGTAGAAACAGGGTTTCACCATATTGGTTAGGTTGGTCTCAAACTCCTGACCTCATGATCCGCCTGCCTCGACCACTAAAAGTGCTGGGATTATAGATGTGAGCTACTGTGCCTAGCCTACTTCAGGTTTTAAAAATAAATTTAGTATAGCCTAAGCCTACAGTGTTTCTTAAGTCTACAGTAGTGTACAGCAATGTCCTAGACCTTCACCTTCACTCACAACTCACCCACTCACTCGCCTGGAGGAACTTCCAGTCCTGCAAAATCCACTCATGATATCTGCTTTAAACAGCAGTAACAGTTAAAAAAATGTTTTATATCATATTTTTATTATAGTATATGTATATATGTATGTGTGTGTACATGTGTATATATATACACATACCATATATATACCTATATAGACATACCATATATATACACATACAGTATTTATATATACGCATACATACACATATATATTTGCCATTGTGTTATCATTGCTTAATGTTCAGTAAAGTTTTGTAGCCTGGAAGCAACACCCTTTACCATATAGCCTAGTCATATAGTAGGCATAAACTTAAACTTAGCATCTAAGTTTGTGTAAGTACTCTCTACACTGTTCTTATAATGACAAAATCGTCTAAAAATGCACTTCTTAGACTGTACCTGTCATTAATCAATGCATGACTGTAGTTTAATTGGCAGAGATATTACCTTTCTTTTAGATCCACCTTAAATATTTGATTTGTTGACATGCAGTGGCTGACACCCACTGAGACTCCTACCTATACCCATGCATAGACCAGCTCTGACCTTCCCTCTAGTGTTACACACGCCCATTCAATCATAGGTTTTTCTTTATGAGTTTCATTCACATTGTTTCTTTGTATTGCCAACTAGAAGCAAACAACCAGAGGCACAGTAATCGTCAAGTAATTTCAGAAGGTATGAATCCAAATGCTGTAGAAAAACGAACAGGGTTTGTACATGCTTTAACCAACATAAAAACCAAGAATGGGTAAATTACGTGGAACAATGGTTGGCAAGACACAGTATACCAGGCAATGAGCATAATGATACCTGAGGCATGGGAGGCAGCCATGCAAGCCCACTATTTCCTCATGTTATTGCTTCAAGAGAGTTCTCTGCTGTGGAGTAGCAAGGACTTTTGGAGCGTTCTGTGTTGAGATGAAACTGAGGGTCTGAAAGAACAAGTTTGCCCAATTCCATCAAGACCTCCAAGTACAGTGTTAACAGCGGGAGAAAGTAATCATGACAGCGCCCAGTCAGAAAGGTTTGACTTATGCCAGCCATTTTTCTACAGAGACATGGATCACAGAACTACAGTAGCAGTGCAGGAGAGAAAGGGAAAGATACATGGAGAAGACATTTGAATGAAGTTGGCCTTCAACTCTTTTATCTCATTCATGATGCTAAAAGACACAGCTCTTTACATGACACAGCCATCTTGCAACAATCCCAAGGATAAAGGCAGCCCAATAGAGAGGAAGGAAGTGTGTATAAGTAGGTTGAACCACTCCCCCTTGACCCAAACCTGAATTTCCTATGATTTGTTGGCATATGTGTCCGATAAACCTGTATTGTGCAATAAAGGCACTCCCTGAGGTATGACTTAAGATTTCTCAATTTTATAATTGTGAGAAAGCAATACACATTCAGTAGAAATTGTACTTCGAGTACCCATACAACCATTCAGTTTTTCATTTTCATTGCAGTATTCAATAAATTACATGAGATATTTAAGACTTTATTATAAAATATGGTTTCTGTTAGATTATTTTGTACAAATGTAGGCAAATATAAGGGTTCTAAGCACTCTTAAGACAGGCTAGACTAAGGTATGATGCACAGTAAGGTAGGCATGTTAACCACATTTTTGACTGGTGATGTTTTCAATTTATGTTGGGTTTATTGGGAAGTAGCCCCAACTTAAGTTGAGGAGCATCTGTAATTTCCATGGAGCTTTTCATTTATCGGAACAGAACAAAACTCTTATCAATGAAGAAGAAACTAGTAAATCTTATCTCCTCTATTTGTTTCCCCAGAAAACTTCTAGTTTCCTTCGGATTTGGGAATCATCTTTCCCTTGTCCTTCATTACATAAATACCATTATCTATCTGGTTTCATTGACTATTAGGTTCTTCTAAATCTGTGGTGAAATTTAAGGTTAATGGCGTGAGGTCATAATACAATAAAAGAATGAAGATGAGGGTTACTTAAAAAAATTAACCAAGATCTGCCCTTAAAATGTTCTGTATAGTGTATTGAAACCCCGAGTGCCTGACCGCGGCACTGCCTGGCACACAAAGCTCTATCAATAATTTGGAATAAAAATATCCATAAACTATCAACGCTCTTGGTCCATTGCTTTTTCACATCTCATGTGTCTTAAATAAGTGCCCTCCAGAATCGCTTTTAGACCATAAAATTGAGGATTTCATTACTTGTATAACAGCCATTTGCTATTGAGTCTCATAGATCCAATCCTGTTGGCATTTGCACAATTCATATAGCAGAACCTAAACAATTCCTAGCCTGCTTTTTGGACCCCTCCGTTGTTTCTTCAAGAGGAAGTCAGTGTTTAACCTAGGGTGAGGAATCCTCTCTTTACTTGCCATCTAGTCACATACAAACGATATATGAGGAGTGTCAAAGGTTCAGCCTAAAACAATGGACATTAATGGAGGAGGTAAAAACTAAAAAGTGGGCAAACTATTGACTGAGTCAATAAAAATGACCATATTAAAATTAAAAAAATAGTTTGTTCACTGATATCGAAGAAATAAAGATTGTAATTCCCTTTCTATAAGACGATACTATTAAAATATATGCTGCTTGAAGATGTATGACATTTCCTGAATGGCATTTTTATTTCAGTGCAAACTAATCACTCACTCATCAAGGAGTAAGAAAATAATACATCTCGATATTATGGATTTTTTGTAGGAAGGCAAGTCAAGCAGCCATTTACAAAACCAAAGTGAAAATACTCAAATATGCAAGCCAATGTCTATAGCTTTTGGATAAGGAGAAAAACAAACAATATGATGACACTCATTTGCACAGTAGCAAAGTAGCTGTCTCTGCATTCAAAATGGGAGTCTCAGTGTTCTGTCTACACAAATTAATTCCTTGTGCACCTTCCACAATAAGAACCAGCTAAGCCACGTAATTTAAACTATCATAGCTTCTCTAAGCCTATGATTGTAAGTACATTTTGTACTGTGGCTCCCAGGAAAGTCTCTGTCCCTCTCTTTTTCAACAGTCGTATTTCATAGCAAATTTCCGGAAAACACTAAAACAGAGAATATGTAACATCTATCGTTCCTAATAAAAGTGCTATTTTCATTTAATTACTAAAGAAAGATGATTGAAAAGATGAAAACAGTTATGTGAATTTCAAAAAATGATTATGATAAAATTTTAAAATTCAGGAATGAAAGGCATTAATACACAATACAAAATATGAATTGGTTTTAAATGATGTTTATGTGATTTAAAAAAAAAGACAATTGCATGCAAGTTTTAAAGATATCTGCACCCCCACTTTCAAAGAAGCAATACGAAATGTTACCAGGAAGGTGTCATTGATCAGCGAACACAATTATTGCAGAGAAAAGCCTTTCTTATGCAAAAGGACCGCATTCCTCAAATAGCCCCAGAGGGAGGGCAGTGGGCAGCTGACCTTGCCCCCCCGCAAACCCCACAGAAGGCTCTGAGCTCAGCTGCAGTGGCTGAGGCCGGCCCTTGGTAGGCGTGGTCTGCAGCAGGAGCACCGCATTCGTGGTCCGCAGCAGGAGGACAACTGCGCTTGCGCAGGAGGCACCCAGGGAATGACTGACAGGTCTCTGCCACCTCTGGCTGTTGCTGGAGGAGTACAAAGTCCCCCAGGTTCCAAAAACCAGGCAAACATAATGAGGAGCCTTGACATCTAATTTATTTCACTGGGACTGTACTAAACAAATAAAGTGGGGCGCAGTGTTCAGGGATTGTCTAAGATTCTTGAGAACATTAGAGACATAAGCAACAACAGCAATGTTCTCAAGTTCTAAATCCTTTTATTTCAAGGTACAGCTGGAAATATTGGTGTAGGAGCAAGGCATCCAGGATTTACTCGCCTCTTTCTTCTTTTTAGAACACCACAATAGATAGGCTAAAGGGCTGTGGATGGAAAATTCTTGGATTAAATGAAGACTCTTAGTAATTAAGACAATGTAATGTTTGCACAGATAGAAAGGTGAACCAATGAAATAAAGGAAAGCTCTAAACAGACAAAATAATAAAAATGCAAATAAGTAATAAGAGCAATTATTAGTAGAAAGATGGCTTTTCCAATCAATGTTCCAGGAAATTGATATTCACTGAAGGAAGTTAAATGTACCTTTAACTTCACATTACACATAAAATTAATTGCAGGTGCATCATAGATCCAAATACAAATACAGTTTAATATAGTATTTACAACCTATGTTAGGAAAATATCTTCATGACTATGGGCTAGCATAAGATTTACTAAATTAGACCTACAATGTAGTCACAATTTAACAGAAAAACATTTTATAACATAGTTTATGGGAGCAAGGACTGTGGAGACAGATTAGAGCATGTTCTATTCCTTTTTTTGCAGGGCTTTAGCTCAAATTCAGAACTTGTACATAGGAGTGGTATTAGAACCTACCTTTTGATATTTTGGGAGGAATGAATGAACTAATGATACATAATGCCTGTAGATAAATATCAGGTCTATAGTAATCACAACATCAGTATGCTAACACTGACAGTGTTTTCTAAGTAATTTAAATGTATTTTTTGTATCAATTGCAAAATACATCATTATTTTACGCCACAGTAAAGGAATAAAATTGACAAGATATGGTACAAATACTTCCTATGCCTTAAAATTTTTACCTCACAATTAATGACAATAACTCTTTTCAACATATATAAATGTGGATATTTGTTTTATATCACTCCTATTCAATGAGATGCAAATATAAGCAAATCACGTTAAGAAAGGAATTGCTGCTCGGGGCGGTGGCTCACGCCTGTAATCCCAGCACTTTGGGAGGTTCACTTGAGGTCAGGAGTTCGAGACCAGCTTGGCCAACATGGTGAAACCCCATCTCTACTAAAAATACAAAAATTAGCCGAGTGTCATGGCCTGTGCCTGTAATCCCAGCTACTTGGGAGGCTGAGGCAGGAGAATTGCTTGACCCCGGGAGGCAGAAGTTGCAGTGGGCCGAGATCACACCACTGCACTCCAGCTTGGGTGACAGAGCAAGACTCTGTCTCAAAAAAAAAAAAAAAAAAAAAAAAAAAAAAAGAAAGGTATTGCTAAATTTCTCTCATTCAGGTGCACCTCTTCAGAGTCACTATTCATCTTCTTTACGATTTTCCCCTCATTATCATCTTCTGTGTTAACCAGAAGCTTTGGTGATATTTCATTTCTTGTGACATTCCTATGCAACACTCTGTGAGATTATCTTTCCAACCTACTGACAGCTCCTCTGCAAGTTTTGTGTTGATGATATTAAAAGAAAGTGTCAATGGAAGGTTTCCAGGACAGGTTCATGTGCATTCATATAAGGACAACCACAAAAAGTCTGTATTTTGACCAATAGCGTTTTGATACTATCAATTTTAAGATGCATTTTGTCTTAGTTCATTTGTATTGCTAGGAAGGAATACTTGAGTCTGGGTAATTTATAATGAAAAGAAGTTTATTTAGCTGACAGTTCTATGCACTGTACAGGAAGCATGGCACCAACACTTCCTTCTGACTGGGTTCTCAAGCTGATTCTACTCATGACAGAAAGAAAAGGGGAGCTTGTGTGTGCAGAGATCACATGGTGAGAGAGGAAGCAAGAGAGGGGCAAATGCTGGGCTCTTTTCAACAACCAGCTTTCCTCGAAATTAGCAGAGTAAGTACTCATTACCATGAGAACACCACCAAGCCATTCTTGAGGGATTTCCCCCAAAATTCAAGCACCTCCTATCAAGCCCCACTTCCAACACTGGGGATCAATTTGTAACAGGAAGTTTGGGGGGCCAAAGATCTAAACTGTAGTATGTATGTGTTTGAAAGGTGTGACAATATGTCCTCTAGCAATAATGGAACACACTATATTTTTTCTGTGACTGCTCATTTCCCAGTGTGATATCATAGTGACTTGTCTGCTGAATTCTGGTCTATTGTTATTATTATTATTATTTAAGAGATAGAGTCTTGCTGTATTGCCTTGGCTGGAATGTAGTGGTGTGATCATATCTCATAGCAACTTCCAATTCCTGGTCTCAAGGGATCCTTTTGCTTTAGCCTCCTGAGTAGCTGGGACTACAGGCATGTGCTACCATGCCCGGTCACTTTGAAAAAAAATTTGTTTTTGTAGAGTTGGGGTCTTGCTGTGTTGCCTAGGCTAGTCTTGAACTCCTGACAATCCTCCCACCTCAGCTTTCCAAATTGCTGCGATTATAGGCATGAGTCACCATGCCTAGTCAAGAAGACTTTTTCTTTTTCTTTTCTCTTCTTCTTCTTCTTTTTTTTTTTTTTTTTTTTGAGATGAAATTTCACTATTGTTGCCCAGGCTGGAGTGCAGTGGCATGATCTTGGCTCAGGCTCATCGCAACCTCCGCCTTCCAGTTCAAATTATTCTCCTGCCTCAGCCTCCCGAGTAGCTGGGATTACAGGCACACACCACCACGCCTGGCTAATTTTTGTATTTTTAGCAGAGACAGGGTTTCACCATGTTGGTCAGGCTGGTCTGATCTGCCCACCTAGGCCTCCCAAAGTGCTGGGATTACAGGCATGAGCCACCGCGCCTGGCTCAAGAAGACTTTTTCAAACATAGTTTTATATAAATTAGCCCACTTCAATTACCTTCTACCTACCTATAATATATGTGAAATTATTAGAGTACTATTGTAAGTTCTACTTTATATGATTTTAATTTTTTAATGTTATAGTTTTGTGTTGCCTCAGCATCTATTTTGAATTATGTTTATCTTGGTCATACCAGAAGCAGGACTTAACACCTTTGACACATTTTCCAGTTCTCCAATCCCTCCCACTTTCTCTATGCAGTTGTTCCAGATATCTACTTTATACAACCCCTCCTTATGAGACAGCTGGATGAAGCATCTGACTTTGCCCCCTGACCGTCCATACCTCATGTGGGCTGTGCAAATATGCCACAGTGACCACCTTTTTGTCAGTGTGGCTCTATGGGATTCATGCTTGCTTCCTGTAAACCCAGCAGTTAGAACCCCCTGTAAGAAGGTTGCTTGAATAACACACTGGACGCCAATAAAGGCCTCAACTATAGGCCCCTCCCTCAGCCGTGTGAGTATGTGTTCAGAATGGCTCCCCCTTTGGTCATCTGAAGCATTCTGCTCTGCTCTCTCTGGGATCTGTAAGTAATACACTAAATCTGTTATTTCATGTGTTTTGTTGAGTTGACTCCTCTATGTCTCATCTGAATAATATACCTGAACTTCTTTTCAAGTCAGGACTTTCCTAGAGACTGGCTATTTTAGTGAGAGTAAACCAGATGCAGTTCAGAGCCACAAGGTTGTTTTCCAATATAAACATGTTTTCTGTGAGAGGAACCCCTGGTCATGGGTCACACACTTATGCATTTGGCCATTTAACAGAATAAATGGAGGCACATTTTAAACACCTATGACCAAATTCTATCAATTCTCATTGGGCTAGGTTAGCGTTACATTGTCCTATGCAGCCATAAAAAAAGAATGAGATAATGTCCTTTGCAGCAACATGGATGGAGCCAGAGGCCATTATCCCAAGCAGAGAAACACAGAAACAGAGAAACAAATACTGCATGTTCTCACTTACAAGTGGGAGCCAAATATTGAGTGAAGATAGGCACAAAGGAAGAAACAACAGACATGAGTTCTTACCTGAGTGTGGAGGATGGGAGGATGGTGATGATTAAAAAACTACCAATCGTGTAGCATGCTTCTTACCTGAGAGACAAAATAGTCTGTACACAAAACACCTGTGACAGGTAGTTTATCAATAGAACAAACGTATACATGTACTCTTAAAATTAAAATACAGGTTTTAAAAAATCCTCAATCTAATGGTCTAGAAACTATTGGGGAGGGGATTTGTTAAAGATTCCTGAAATGTTAGCCACCCACAGACCAAGAACACGGACACTTCATAGGTAGTTTTAGTTCTGATTAATAGATGCACATTTGTTTCACCAGGTAAGTCTACAGTCAGGAGCTCTGGGAGTCAATGTTGTATGTTTCCAGATAATGTCAAGGCCAGATTTTGGTTAAAAAGAAAACTTAAATAAAAAACCAAGCATTCATCTTCACTCTATTTTTGTATTAGAACCTGACTCCATATTCATAATTTCACTGTATATGAAGAGCAACCCTATACTCCATACAAACAACATGGACTGTGGAATTATGTTGTGAAATGCAAAGAGAAGATGATTCCCAAATGTAACGGAAACCGTAGGTGTTCTGGAGAAACAAATAGAGGTGATTAGCCTTACTGATTTCTCCTCTTGATGATAATTGTTATTTGCACTTAAAAGTAAAATCTTCTACTTGAATTATTCTATAATGTAGTAAATCTATCACTCACACATGCAAAATACCATAGGAAAAAGGGGTAGGTCCACACGTGGTGGTTAAGCCTACTTATGTGCATAATTTTCTTCATCTCTAAGGAGTGTCCATTTGACGGGGTGCAGTGACTCATGCCTGTCATCCCAGCACTTTGGCA